CAGCTCCCTTTTGGGTGGAACATTGTTCTATAAACTAATTACACGGCACCTATACGACTGTCCCCAAGGGCAACCACGTAGCCGTTTTTGAGACAAGGATAACTCTATCACTAACCAAACCAGTGGTAGCAGTTGACATCTGAGTCAGATGACCGCCTGTATTACTTGGGATAAATGCAGGGGGTACCTATTGAGTTAATAGCCAACAAACATTGGCGAATCAAGGGGTCTAGCCGGCCTACGCCGCCTGGTACCTCTACTTCTCAAACAAAAGTGACGGCGACTGAGTAACTCCAACGTTAACTCATAGTCACTCCCTCAAATTTGGTATGGAACCTAAAAGGTTTGAGTCGTCCGGCTGTTTTTAACAAACAGGGGCACTCAAACCCCTATTTCCTACTAGGTAACCTATTGAGTTAATAGCCAACAAACGTTGGCGAATCAAGGGGATCAGCCGGCCTCCGCCGCCTGGTACCTCTACTACTCAATATAAATTGTGACGAAGACTAAGTAACTCCTAGGTTAATAGTCACTCAAACTTAGTATGGAGCCTAAAAGGTATGAGTCGTCCACCTGTTTTTAATAAACAAGGGCTCTTAACCAAAACTCTTGCTAGGTTAACAAATTACGAGTTAAAAGCCAACATTGGCAATAAAGGGAAACAACCGGCACCCGCCGCTTGTACTCCTACTTAATTCCTTGGCAACTTGGAAATACTATTTACTTGGTCAGACCAATTGAATAAATAGTTCGAATACCGATTGAATAAATGGCCGACTGATCATCTACCCTGGAAACAGACCACCAGTCGTCCAGGGGCATAGGCGGCATACTTACTATTTGTACCTGTCTGCAACGTTCGGCCATACACAACAGTCGGTCTAGTGAACAATGGGATATTAGATATGGAATACTTGGACAAATTTGAACCAAAACAAAAATTTAATTAAAAATGAGCCGGTCATTAAAGACCAGCAGAATATTCAAAACCCCGGCCCCCTGGCCGGGTAATTACAAAGCAAACGGCACGCAGGCCGTGGAAAAAATACTTAAAGCTTAAGGGGGCAGTTCAGTATCAGCAGCTGCCGCCTGGTCAGCACTCTTCTTGCTGGACTCGGCTTTAGCTGCACCCTCTTTTGATGCCTTACCCCCAAGTGGCACAAGCGCCACAACCGGCTCTTCCTCCTCCAACGCACCTTCCAATGCCTCTTCTTCAGCAGCCGCCAGGATCTGTTGATTATATGTTTCCGAACACTGGCGGTACGTTCTTTCCCATGAGGCAAAGTCGGCACTGGGGAACAGTCGTTCCCAGGTCATGCGCTGGATTTGAGCGGAGTCTTCCACCATCTCCCGGACGAGCTCTTTCTTCTCTTGCTCGGCCTTTTCCGAGAGCTCTTGGGTAAGACTCTTCTCTTGGTTCACCAGGCGTTCTTTTACGTTGGCCAAAGATTTCTCCATGGCTTCGTAAGAGTGCATTTTTTGGCGAAGAGGTTTCAGCTCGGCCTTAAGGTTGGTGACGGTCGCCTCCAGCTCGTCAACCTTCTTTTGGGCCGCCTCTAACTGAGTCCGAACAGCGGCGGTAGCCTGCGCCTGATAATAAAGAAGATCAATGGTCAGTACTTCATTTTGGGCAATTTGAAACATTGCCTTATCACAGCTGGAGGCGGCCATAGCTTTTGCGGCCTTTACCTCTTTGTTTTTCCGATCAATCGGCTTGCGAAGGCTGTTGACTCGGAGCAGGGCCTAAGTACAAAGAAAAACAGGCGTCAGCTTCCAAACAAAAAAGATAACAGGCGTCCTGGAACTCAAAAACTCAAAAATATGCTAAGTATACCTCAGCAAGGACCCCTGAAATCCCATCAAGGTCAAGGGTGCCGGCACCCCTGACCGCCTCCCTTTCAGATGGAGGAACTACTTTAACCATGGACTTGGCTACCTCAACCAAGTCAAGCCCCTGAGGGTCGGCTGCATTAAGCGAAATGAAAAAACAAGTTAGACCTAGTCAAGAAGGAAGCAAGTGTGAGTTTTTACAAGTGTGTCCATACTTCTAGGCGGCCCCGCCGGGGTTTTAGAAGAAGTGGTCGGCTGCTTCTCAGCCGCCACTGTTTTCCTGGAAGACCCAGGAGAGCTTGCAACAGTCGTCCTCCGGGCCTTGGGGTCCGGCTGTTGCGAGGAAGAAGCCCTTGGAGTGCCAGACTGAAAACAAAAAGAGTTAGTATATGCATAAGATAACTAAAAGAGGAAGAGTTTTCGAAGCTTACCAAGGGTGCCCCCTTGTTGGGGGAGTCGGCATAAGACTGTTTCATGAGCGAGGCCCGCAACATGGCCGCCGCAGTCTTGGATGCTGTTATTTTACTCATGGCGTCAGCTGCAAGAAATAAACAGCAAAGTTAGTAAAAATCCCAAGTAAACAAGGCGTGAAAAAACAGAGTATTTGTCAGGCCGGCTACCTCTAGAGCACCGACTGCTGAGGCCACAGGCGGCCAAAAAGTACTCGTCATAGAGCCACTTGAAGCTCGGGACGCAGTTTAGGGGTACTTGCTCTCGTACCCCTGAAGTAGAGTTCACCCTAGTCTCTACTTTGAAGAGTCCTCTGTCTAGGATCTCTCTTTTAGCCTTTGGGGGAACAGGCGGCATGCTGCGGCCGCCTGCGAGAAGAGGCGGATCCCTATTCCACTTGTTAAAACGTTGGTTCAGCTCCGTGTCTGAACCCTCAATGATAAGGAAGGTGTTCCGCCAATCCTTCCATTTGTTCGCCTTACCTCTCGTCATGAGGTAACCCCTATGGCTTGTTAATTGGTACCAGCCGGTACCTCCCGACTTAGGGGTCCGGCTGAGATAATTCATGTGGGCGAAAGCCTCAAAGCTTGGCTCCACCCCGTACATTTCGCACCCGGCCACATAGCCGAGTACGTTTACCCAAGAGTTGGGGGCTAACTGCCATAACCCCAGATCATACCCATCTAAAATCCGCTGAACAGCCGGATGTAATGGGAAGCGCAGTCCAGCTTTGATGGCCGCCACATAGCAGCCAAAGCAGCCGTCACCATAGCTGGTACCAGCCGGCCAGACGACAGTGTCTTCTGGATCCGGCACGAACAGTAAAAATTCCGGGCCCATTCTGTGGTTGGCAATAAAGCTCGCCACGTTGTCTTGCATGGTTGCGATCCGGCCCCGGGGTACCATGCAGTAGTAGGGGGCGTTTTCCTCTCTGTAAGAGGCGGACGGCTCCGCCCAATTGTCCCCCTTCTCAACTGCATGAGAAAGTCTCGCCTCTTGTAGGCGGCTATGTCTTTCTTCTGAGCCAGGAGAACTGTGGCCAGAAGAGCTGGACTCGGACTCGTCCTCTGACGAGTCCGAAGAGGACGACTCCTCCCCTCTCCCAGAGGGGCCCGCCTCCTCTTCCTTAGAAGGAGCAGGAGGAAAATTAGACATGTCAACGGTAAGATGGGAAGGGACCACCTTGGCCCCTCTCTCAGAACTGTCGGCTTGGCAGTCGCCTCGTTTCAATTCTACATCTGGCGCCTGGTCAGATGTTTCACTAAGGAGCACCCTTTGGGAGGAGCCGTCTGAGTTTGATATCATAGCAGTCTGTTTCGTTCTGGCCATCACGTTCTGCATAGACACAGATACAGTCGGACTTTGTATAAAGGGCAAAGATGGGTCCAGAAAAGGGCAGGCGGCACTCCTAGTCCTAGATTCAGCCGTCCCCGGTGACCGGCTGATCACTAACTTAGGTCGTGTCGTGTGCTTCCGTGGTGCCATTTCAAAAAATAAAAAGAAAATTAAGAGTAAGAGAACTGAGTTACCTGAACGAGTGACGGTTGATGAAGTCCTGGAAGTCCGGTGCAGTCGGCTTGTCAGAACAGGCGGTAGGCAGAAAAGGTCCGAAATGTCAGAGCAAGTTCAGGGGTCCGAATGTTCTCGCAAAGTTCTCAAATGTGAAAATGACCGAAGTCAGCACTTCCTTTTATAGGCAAAGTGAGAAGGCGAAAGGTCGCTTCCAAATTCAAAATTTGGGCGGGAAAATCTCTCGGCCGTTTGCAAGGTGACACCTGTAGCAGGCCGTCGCCTGTCACCGTGCGACACCTGTCACAGGCGACACGTGACCTGTCACGTGCCACCTGTGAGGGGCAAATGATTAGGGGATTTTTATCCACCAATCACCGTCTGACAAGTGGACCAACCAGGTTCCGCCACGGGTCCTTCACGAAGGCCAATAGGAGCCTGCCACGTGTCAGTCACAGATACGTCCTCTACGGACCAATCGAGGCACGCCACGTGTCCACCCATGCCAAATGGGAAAACCGGCCATCAAGGCCCAATCCAGTCTAGAGGCCCGGTCAGCCCTAGGTTTACCTTAAACCTAGAGAGTGGCACGCTTCTCAAGGCTATAAATACTTAATTAATCCTCATTAGTTAAGGAATCAAGAAATCAAGCAGAGAAGAACAGAGATATTACGGAACACCAACAACCGGCTAATCTCGCTAACGACGCAGATTACCAACACTAAGCACTCTCACCTAGAGAGATCTTATTACTTTAATTTCCGTATTAATTACTCCTTAATCAGGTACTAACTTGACCGTTGGAGGCGGAGCTCTCAGGAGTCTCCGTTATTTTGCAGGTACAGGCGTCCGGTTCCAGTCTCGGAATTGTAACTCTCCCGCAGGACATCAGAAAACCCCGAAACACCATTTACCTTCTGAACCATCACCACATTAGCCAGCCAAACCGGATATTGACAAGGCTCGATGAACCTTGCGTCCAGAAGTTTTTTTACTTCGGATGCGATGTCTTGGTTCTTTTGAGCGGAGTAGTTCCGCTTCTTTTAATTAATGGGTCGACATGTGGGGTCAACATTAAGCTTTTGGGAGATGAGGTTCGGGTCAATCCCGGGCATGTCTGATGCCGAGAAAGCAAACACATCTCTGTTGTCTCGAAGGAGTTAGATTAATTCAACACGGAAGCTCAAATCTAGTCCTTGTTCGATGCTAACACATTTTTCATCATCTCCTTCGGTCAACGATATTGATTCTGTCTGATTATCCAGTTCCATTGCTCTGGCACTGGATTCTTCGGATTCAGGCCTATTGTCAATATCAGCGGGCTTCCCAGACTTCGGCTGACTTCCTGAGTCTTTCGGCTCAGAAGAAGAACTAGCCTTTTCTTTTCCCAAAGATGTATTATTTGCTGAGGATCCTTGAGCCGAGGCACTTAAGCCCTTGGGCCTTTTCATTCCTCAGTCTTTGTTTTTCCTCCTCATCATCCTTGTCGCTGCGGCGACTCTTGGATGGTTTGAGGTGGTTGCATCTTCGGGCCTCCTTTTGACTGCCCAAGATTTTTTCGGAGCTTCCCTTGTCCGAAACGTAAATCATTGCTTGATGGTACATCGAGACGAATCCTTGAATATCTGAATGAGGGGTCTCCCATGATCACGTTGTATACAGACGGAACATCAACGACCAAAAACTCGTCCATAGTGCTTCGCTGCGCCAGGTCTTGACCTAGGGAATTAGAAAAAAGAATCTTCCCATTTGGGTATGATGAAGAGCCATTGGATCCAGTTACCGGGAAGGGCACTGGAGTTAGGTGTTTTCTCTCCAACTTCAGCTGGTCGAACGTCCTTCGAAAGAGGATATTCGCCCCGCTGCCACCGTCCACGAGGATTCGGTAGACATTGTGGTTTGCAATGCCCGTCATGATCACTAACGGGTCATCATGGGGGTACACCACCCCCCTACAGTCTTCGGCTGTTAACATCATGTTCGGCATCAGAGACTGAGGTGCTCGGAACTCAGCATTATGTACTTGATGGGTCAAGCCCCTCAAGCGGCGTTTTAGCGTATTCCCTGGAAATAGTGAGAATGTCAAGGTTTTCCCTATCATTATGCTTGTCCCTTTTCCGGAGAAAGTCCAAATCCTGCTGAGAATCTCTCTCAGCTTTCTTCTCTTCGCGGCGCTCCGCGACATATTTTTTCAAGTAGCCTTTATGGACCAAATCCTCGATTTGGTCTTTCAACTGGAGGCAGTCCTCGGTGCGGTGTCCAGGGGATTCGTGGAACTCGCACCATTGGTCCTTCCCCTTTTTCTGATGCCACGAAGGAAGTGGTCTCGGTTTCTTGAATCTCCCCTCATCCTTGGTCGTGCTGAAAATTTTAGCACGTGGAAGAGCAAGGGGAGTGTAAGACTCAAACCTCCCCGTATAGGGGGTCCTGTCTTTCTTCGGCTCAGGTGCCGTGGAAGGTTCTGAGGATTTCGCCTTCCCTTTCCTCGGCCCCTGGCCTTCGGACAGTTGTCCCTTAGCTTTCTCGACCCTAGGTTGGGACTGAGATTTTGTCTTGTTTCATTCTTCGGCTCGGATGAACTTATCCGAGGCGTCCAAAGCTTCCTTCAAGGTCTGCGGAGGATGCATGACCATGAAGTCAAGGAACTTTCCAGCTTGTAAGCCATTTCGTAGTGCGAATACGGCAAGGCCCTGGTCTAGACTCGTTATTCTGGATGACTCATTGCTGAAGCGAGTCAGATAGTCTCGGAGTCTTTCGTCCTCCGCTTACTGCAGACTCATCAGCTCTGCAGTCATTTTCTCTCGGCGATTCGCCGTAGAAAACTTGCTATTGAACTTGTTGGCAAGGTCACTCCAACCTGTTATAAAGCCTTCTTTCACCCCCTTGGAGATCCACGATTGTGCAACACCTTTGATGGTGGTTGGAAAATATTTGCACCAGGTAGCCTCGGACCTGGGATTAAGATACATGTGCCCCTCGTAAGAGGCAATGTGCTCTTTCGGGTCTAAGGTACCATCGTAAGTAATGTGCGATGGTATTTTTACCGTCGGCACATGCTCTTCCAATATCCAACTTTGGAAGGGCGAGCTTGTAGGGACCATCACGACTTTCCCTTTTTGCTTGGCCGAAGGGACCTCGATTCTCCCTCTTAAAGAGCTGGAAGTGGTTTTCGTCCCTGGCCGAGACAATTCAGGGTAGGGCTTGGTTCCCTCGGGGAAGGTGAGACGGTTGCGCACGTCTACCTCTCTTGAGCCTAAGCGTTCATGGACGCTTCGGCGAGCAAACTCTTTGCACTCAGTGGTGGTGTTGCTGCTTTGGAAACTCATGGAGACCCGAGTTTCAGAGTGGTGAAAGAAGTGAGGGTTCTTCTTCCTTTTCCTCTCGGTTTTCCATGTGTCTTCTTGCCACTTCTCCCAGAGCTCCTTGTAGGGTGGAACTTGTCCACTTTCCTCTTGACCGATTCTCCTTCTCAGGTGTCTTGGCTGAAGAGGTGAAGACTCGGGGGGTGTTAGTGGGAGTTGACCCCCTTGGGCTTTGAGGAACTCCATACAGACTTCCACGGCCCTTGCCACTTCCTTCGTAGAGGGCCCCGATGGAGGGGTTTCTTTCGGCTGTGACCGCGAGTGTAGACTTTGCGGTGGAGGACTTCTTGCATTTGACCCACTTGGCTTAGGTGAACTTGTCGGCTGGCGAGAATGGTGGGACGGAGAACCCTCCGAAGCGTCCCCCTCCGATGAATGGGGAGCCTAAGAATAAGATGAAACTGTTTCTGGTGATGGAAAAATCGGTCGATTTTCCCTTACCGTGATCAGGTCTCTATTCCTCTTCACAGAGGCCTGACCATTCTTCTTAGCACTCTTGGTGCTCTTGCCACTCTTAGTCATTTTTTACTAAAACTGGTTAGATTTTTTGGCTTAACTTTTTATATTTTCCCCACAGACGGCGCCAAATTGTTCCGGGTGGAAACAATGGGACCTTCATCAGATCCCTTTTAAAGAGGTGGACTGATCTCGTCCAAAGAACATTGGAGCCGAGGATTTCCTGCACAACAAAGAACACGTAAACTAGCCTGAGGGAGGTTGTCGAGGAAGGCCCCTCCGATGCTAAAGTCAGTTCAATTGAGAGAGAAAGATATGCAAGAGATTTTGTGCTTGAGACTTTTGTTGCATGTCCCCATAAATGAGACAATTGATGGCTTTTGTACCTTTATTTGAATGAGGAGGCTTAGGCCCTTGAAGTCAAGTGGGCCTGAAATGTTGACTGGACTTTTGTTGACTTTAGCATATTTTGGAAGGTTGAACCTTGCTTTGGGCTTTTAATTGAATCAATTGGACTGGCCCAATCATTGTGACTGGATTGGACCCAAACAACTTATAAAAACTTTTTTTATTTGTAATTTGTATTTAGGTAACCCTTATCAAAACTTACTTTTGTTAAACTTATTTTATCTAAAGTTATAAAATTTAAAATAAGTAAAAATAAGCTGAACAAAACATACCCTAATAATTAAGCTTCTTTAAGAGGCTGGTCACTCATTCTGGTGAGGAATTGGTGAGATGATTAGATAGATATCTAACTTTGATGGCAGAATTTACGGGAATTTCTAGTCTACATTTGTAAAATTTTCTTTTGAAATTGCATTATTTATTAATTTATTTATTTATTAAGGAGGAGCTCTTGACTAGTCTCCAGGATTATAATTTATTTTTCTTATATTAAGGAGGAGCTCTTGACTAGTCTCCAGGATTATAATTTATTTTTCTTATTTCTGGAGTTTCTTTGATTTATTGCAAAGTAGCCACCATAGAGGTCCTACACAGGTTCACAAGGTTGACAATTTACTTTGATTCACAGTACCGCATACGGCCTAATACCATAGTAATGCTCCCACCATTTAATGATGAATGATGATATAGGCTGACAATTTACTATGAATGATTATAGGTTTTTTTTTAAAAAAAAAATAAAAGATTAGGGTGGTGGCATTATCCTAATCGATTCTCATATAACGAAGCAAATGACAGATTTATAAAGCTATGTTTAGTTCACTTTATATAAGTACCTTATTACTTATTTTAGAACAAATCAAGAATAATAAGTTCAAGTGATTTTTATACTCCACAAGTTGTCAATTCCCTACTATAACTACCAAAAAATAAAATCCACTATACTCAGTTTATTTTGTCTATTTTATCTTACTTGAACTTATCCTTATTTGAATCTTACTACATTTGCAAGCATGTCAAAAATTCTATCACTTGGAACTTAATACGACCTTAATTCTTTGAAATGAGTCGAACAAATGTGGATTTACTATACTCATCCTCAAACTTCAGGGTAATTCAACACTTTGCAGTCTGCACATGTATCTACAATCCAACCCTTTATAATTAACCTAATGGCATATATTTTTTAATGCAGAAACGGAACGATTATATTGCATCAACGAGTACGAAGAACCCTTGTGGCAAAAGTAGTTTATGTTACAAGCAAAAGTCACACCATAAATGGCATGAATGGACCAAGCAATATGTTGTCCAGCCGACTATAATTAAGAAAAGGCAAACTGTACAAGAAGGAAATGAACTAAGATAGTGCATTAAGTAGACATATAAAAGCATAATCTGAAGACGAAAACATTTCCCATAGCAGCAGATATCAGTTTGGGGCAGCAAACTCACTGGAAATTTGATTCGGCAGGAGGGCCGAAGTGGTACACCCTTTGTTCAACCTGACTTCTTCCTATATTAGCTAGGCGGTGAGCGATTCCGATCCATTATTGGCATCTCTTTTGGCATGAAGGAGAGTAACACACCAATCTCTTTCTAGTAAGCCACTCACATCACGAATGATGTTTGTTGCCAGATCATTATCCCATGTAAGCAACCAGATTCAGCAGCATATGCCTTAGGGCCTCAGCATCTGTTTCATTCAAGCTCCAAGAATGAATTTGATGTTCTGTTCCCAAGCAGCAAGTAGACCCTCCCTAATTGTAATAAGCAGCACCCATAGTCTTGAACTTGACAGATCATAAGAGGGGTTAATTCACAATTATATTGACTAAACATCATCACCCTCCAAAATTGGCCTAATAGAAAGGAAAAATAGAGCCAGAGAAAGGTAACCAAGACCAAGCTAAGGGTATAATCAGTTAAAAGCTCATAGCTTTTCTTCGGTCCAGTCTAGACCGATTTTTGAACAGCCCTAATAACAACACCTCGAATTTCGAACCCAGACTCGATACCTGCCAGCCTGAAGTATAGTGTTTGGTCAAAACTTGCTGAGGATGTCATAAATTCACCAACAACAAGTTCAATCCATACATCTTTTTGCTTGTCAACCAACATGAGTTCCTCTGCATGGGATGTTCCAGGAGCATAGGAAAAATAAGATCTAGCAGCTTTCAGACACCTTTCGGATGCTGAGAGAGGCACTTTTATCACAAATGCAATTTCATAAGTGATTTCTGGCGAGAGATTTCCAGCGTCAAATTCCCCTCCCACATAGAAACACTTGTTACTGAAAGGTGCTGATTTCAATTTTCCCACTGTTATCAATGCTCCCTCGCTGCAGCACAGATATTAATCCAAATAAGAACATGCATCAAGGACTTAATACATTGTAATTAATTAAACAAGAAAGACTAAATCTACGGCATATTAAGGTTTCTCTTGAATTGTGAATTTTCTATAGAGACAAGCACAAACTATTGTCCGCACTCTGTACAATAGGTAACTCATATTAACTATTAGGTAATAGTTTGCACTTAAATGTACTAAAAGATCCAAAGAAACCATCAATTTTAACAGATTATACATTATGATTACTCTTAATTGATCTTGCAGTAAGGCGACAAATGATATACATGAATACATCTCACAGCAACACAACAAATGATATACAAACTGTTAGCCTATACCTTTCTTCTATTTGGCTCCATTCCCAGCAATTATCCAAGGAAATATCCTTAAATGGGTGACACTCAGCCAAAGATAGGCATGGGGCGTACAACATGAAGCTGTTATAGTAGATGTCATTTCCCTTCACGACCCAGTATTTCTGCATAGTCAAAATCATAGGTCAAATTGAGAATTTAGAAAATCAGACAGATATAGAAATGACTGGTGAACTAGCCTGTGTTTTATTACTCAAAAAACCTCCAGCAATGAGCTGCTCGTAGAGCTTGCTGATAGAGGAAAAGTCAACAGGAGTGTCAGATTGTTCAATGATGGCTTCAAAGTTATGAGGCAGCCTAAGGCTTTGTCTTGACCATCCACATTCTTCTGCTTTTTGGACAAACTCCTGCGGCACTCCGAAACACTCGAGTTGCTGAAGGGTGGTAACAAACGGCAAGCCAAGGGGAAACATGTGTAGCATACCACACTTGATAATCACCAACTTCTTAAGACAAGGCAGCGCGCCTGTCTGTACTTCCCATATGTTCAATTTTGGGAGACTCGCCAAATAGAGTTCTTCAAGCATAGGAAATGAGTCATCTTTGCAGGAAAACACAGTGCCCAGGAAGGAATTGGTAAGTTTCAGGAGCTTCAGATGGGGCAAGGCTCCAGCGGCCACCATGGGGTCTTCATTTTCTAGATTGCTATCCTTCAACTCTAATATTACAAGGTTCGGTGGCAATATGAAAGACAATCTGTTCACCTGTAGCTTTCCAACCAATACCAGTTTATGTAGGTATTGGTTGTGAGAGAAGATTGGATTAGCAAGCTGTAAGGCTACACCATCACTCCACTCACAGTGAAATGTATGGAGTCGACCAGATGTCAGGCTTGGGCAATTGAAGGCAGCCTTCAGATCCTTCTCGGTAGTCACAATCACCTTCAACTTTTTCAAACTTGTGCTTAGTTTTGGTACCTCTCTTGCAAACCAATCGCTCCCTCCATTACATCTCACACCCCACAAAATTTGCAGGTTTGACATACAACTCAGCTGCAACTGTTCTAATCTCAAAGGAGAATGAACAGGCAAGAATAGATGCCTAAGTTGAACAAACTTCCCAAATATATTTGGAATAATTATAGGTACGCTGTTATCAGAGTCAATGTTCCTGTAGTCTAAAGTCAATAACTTCCTCAAATTCCCTATAGAATTGGGAAGCTTTGTTATATTTGAAGCACGAATTCCAAGGTATCTTAGAGCACTCTCAATGGTGAGAGTTTTTTTAGCTCATGAACATTTTTTGTGAGGAAAAAAAATGCTCACAACTCACAATGGTGAGTAAAATGAAAAATAGGTAAAAATGCTCATGAGCATTTATTAAAAAGCTCAAAAGTTGAGCATTTTTTGCCATGAACAGTGTTGCAAGTGGGCCCCACACGCGTCAGAAAAATAAAAAAAAAAGCTGACTCTAACATCAAAACGACGCGTTTTGATGAAGCTGCCTCAAAGGCGCGCCTCAAAACGCGTCGTTTTGAGTATCAGAAAAAAAAAAAAAAAAAAAAAGGGGAAGCTGACGCGTGCAGTTCGCTGGCGAATGAGGACGCGACACGTGGCAGCTGGCAGCAAGACAACCAATCAGAAAATACTAGCCGTTTCACAACGGTTATTTATGTATTTCCCATTTTCAGAAAAATATATTTTGTAAAAAAAAAAAAAAAATTACCAACGGTCATAAAATTAAATTCTCTATAAATAGACATGCATTTTGATATATTTTGATACAATTTCAAAAACACCTTAAAATCCTCCAAATTTTAATTTTCTTAAAAGTATTTTAATTTTGTAGAAGAATATTGCTATTGCAATTCATCCATATTGAGGTAAAAAAAAAATTATTTAATTTTTAAAATCAGTTAAATATAAGTAGTATATTATATGTGATTTTTTTTAAAAAAAAAAAATATTTTAGGCTATGTAATTATATTTGCAATATGTAATTATTAAGAAAGTTGTTTATATTTTGTCCATAAATTTCTGAATTTGTTGTTGCAATTAATTAATGGTAAATTTTTGTTGCTATATATAAATGTATTAACTTAATAAAATTAGTATATATGTGATTTTATTGAAAAAAAAAATTATAGGCCACGAAATTATATTGCATTATGTACATGTTCTTAAAGTGTTGCAAGTATTGGTTAATTATTTTCTTTAACATGTACCTGTAGTTATGTGTTAAAATTTGTATATATGTTATTTTGTATGGCATGTAATGTTATTGCATTATGCAATTGAAGAAAGTTGTTGATATTTTTTTTGGATTTGTTATCATTTTAATTTGTTTTTTGAGTAAATGTTTGTAACGATATTGATCTTTTGTTTTTTGGTGCAGAATATTTTAATGGATCCAAACAACCCAAATTTCCGTCAACAACTTTCGGGTTTTAGTGATGATTTCCTAACTAATCCCGAGTTTCAGTTGTTCTTGCAAAGAATGGGCAATATGTCGACGCAACCACCTCCACTGCATCAGACACCCACTGAGGTTCCCCAACAAAACCCTGCTAATGAAGATCGTACACCTGAAACTGATCTTGGTAGTAACACACTATTCGATGAGAGCGAAGAGGAAAGCGTACCAGAGACGCCGCAGTATCCTCCTCCACCAGTGCGCTTGTTGGAACCCAACCAAGTTCCTGCACGAGCTACCCGTATTTGGTCTGTGGCGGAAGATGAAGCTCTGATTGGGTTATACTTGCAGATTAGCGAGGATGCTATTAAAAGTACAAGCCAAAAAGCAACTACCCTATGGCGCAATGTACACGCAGCATACCAAACTTTGCATACGCAGAAGCCGCATATAATTCCGCCAAGGCCTATTAAGAGTCTCACGTCGCACTGGAGAAGGTTGGCAGCGGACACACTGCAATGGATATCTTGCTATGATGAGGCAGGTAGACTTCCGGAGGGAGGGAGTGGTTACAATGAAGCTGATCGTATGAAAAGTGCGGCGAAGCTTTTTCATGTCGCCCAAGGTCGCAATTTCACTTTTCCTCACGCAATTGAAATGCTTAACAAGGATCCAAAGTGGAGACCGAAGGTGAGATGGTCAATGTCCTTGAAGGAAAGAAAAGTCGCTTGTGATGCCGAGGAAGAAGGTAGTGCTGGAAGTGGGAAGAGGTCCAGAGATGATGTAGAGGATGAAACCCCTACGGATGGTTTTTCATCTGGCGGTTTACAACAACCTGAGGGTGTCAAGAAGGCAAAGGCGAAGCGTAAGGGGAAAGCAGTAGCAACAGAAAGTAGTTCGTCTGAGCTTAGCGAACGAATGAAGGAATTCGCTACAATTCGCGAGAGGGAGGCCATTCTGAAGGAAGAGAGGATCAAAATTGAAAAAGACAAGGAACAGAGGAAAAGGGAGGAACTTGACATTCATAAGATGAAAACCTGGTTTGATATGGTGCAAGCTCTGAAGAATTCGCCTACGCCACTCACTCCCGAAGAAGAGTCGTACAAGAATTTTTTACTGGGTAAATTACAAGGCCTTTAAGCATGTTTGGTTTTAGTCTTTTATTTATTAAGCGCAATTTAGTCTTTTATTTTTAAGTTGTATTAGTTGTGTGGTTAATCTCAATGTAAGATGTACACTTGTATTCTGATTTTCCAATATTGAATGACAAGTTGTTTAACAAGTTGATTTAAGTTTCCATACCGACATAATTACAATAAATCTTCGTCATTGTGTAGTCACATTTTTCTGATTTCACTTTATCAGAATGCTTTACCTTTGTGTCATTGATACCGACATAATTACAATAAATCTTTGTCATTGTGTAGTCACATTTTTCTGATTTCACTTTATCAGAATGCTTTAACTTTGTGTCATTGATACCGACATTATTGCACTCAAGACTTGTCACTGTCAACTAGCATAGTATACCTATTCCGTGGTTGAAAGTTTAATTCCTGTACTTGGTGTGGTCAATCAGATTTGTAACCACATATTCATTTGATATTTTTGCTATATATAGTAGACATGGCACATATCCACAACCACACCCCTTCATCAAATAACAATAGTAATACGAGATGTATTCTAGATCATCATCAAGCTCAAGTTCAAGCTCATCTTCTTCAAATACTGAAGAATATGACCAACTTGTTGATGAACTCTTCACATACCAACCCCCATCTGTCCTCATGCCCCAAACACAATCCCAACACTCTTCAAAAAAACCTAGAGGGGGTACGAATAGAAGAGATAGGGAAATTGGACATGCCAGGTTGTTTAATGATTACTTTTCCGATAATCCCGTGTACAACACCACCCAATTTAGAAGAAGATTTCGTATGCAACGACCTTTGTTTGTACGTATAATGAACAAGGTCGTTGAAGGTGATGTGTACTTCCAGCAGCGTAGGGATGCAGCTGGAAGGTTAGGTTTATCACCTCTGCAAAAGTGTACAGCAGCGATAAGAATGTTAGGCTACGGCATGGCTGCGGACGCCGTGGATGAATACGTTCGGATCAGTGAGTCAACTGCTCGAGTTGCTCTTCAACGTTTTTGTACCAGGGTCATTAATCAGTTCGGAACCGAGTACATGCGAAACCCTACAACTGCTGAATTGGCCAGAATTATGCATCAAAATGAACTGCGTGGATTTCCAGGCATGATAGGCAGCATTGATTGCATGCATTGGGAATGGAAGAACTGTCCAACGGCATGGAAAGCGCAGTACGCCGGTAGGAACAAGAAAGCAACGCTAATACTGGAAGCCGTTGCAGATCAGGATTTATGGATATGGCATTCCTTCTTTGGGATTCCTGGATCTTGTAATGACCTAAATGTCTTATACCGTTCCCCAGTGTTCGATGAGGTTCTGCATGGTCGAGCTCCTCCGGTAAATTTTACCGTTAACGGCCATGAATACAACATGGCATATTACTTAGCCGACGGTATTTATCCGAAGTGGGCAACTTTTGTTCAGGGTATCACAACCCCTCAACTTCAAAAAGATAAATTGTTCGCTGACCACCAGGCTGCTTCTCGAAAAGACGTTGAAAGAGCATTCGGTGTTTTGCAAGCTCGATTTGCAATAATACAAAAACCGTCACTGGCGTACGATGAGGACATACTGCGAGACATAATGAAAGCATGTATCATTATGCACAACATGATTGTTGAAGATGAGCGCCACAACTACACTCGAGCCGAAGTTCTAAGAGCCTTCTACGAAGAAGATCAACAAGAATCAACACCAGCATCAACATCTACAACGCCACCGTTTGAATTCAACGTAGGCCGACCTACCAACTTTGACTTCAACGCATTTCTACAGCGAAAAGCTTCCCTCCGTGACAGAGAAATTCATCTATCTCTGAAACGTGATTTAGTCGAACATATTTGGCAACGATACGGGCCCCGTAATTAGGGAGAAATTAGACGATGTAGTTGTTGTGTTTTTTTTATTTCCTAAGTTTAATTGCGCATGACGTTGCAAATTAATTGTTCTCTAATATTGTACCGCTTTTAAAATAAATAAAAAATTATGAGCTTTTTTTTACAATTATTTATAATAACATAAATAATTTTACGATAAATTTTAACGATAAAAAAGAAAAAAATAAAAAAAATAAGTTACACATAATTAAACTAGTTTTTATTTATTTGGAGTAATGTTAAAATATAAATGAAATAAATAAATAAAGAAGTGTTGTGTAGGAGAGAGAAAGTTATGGTGGGGTATTGAAAAAGTAAGAGAGAGATAGTGGTGGGTGAGCATTTTTTTTGCTCACCATTGGGAGAGGAAATATGAAAAAAATTTGCCCATGAGCAAAATTGATTTGTTGAGAGAGAGAGTGGGTGAGCATTTTTTTTGCTCACCATTGAGAGTGGTCTTAAGTGAATAAAGCTTCCAATTTGTGAAGGTAAGGTACCAGAGGCAGTCTTAATACCCCACAGATTCAACAACCTCAACAACTTAAAATTCTGATGGACAATTCTCAGATCTAATGCCTTGGAAGCGTAAGTATTGTGCAAGCTACTAGATTTTGTCAACAAAACAAGTGACCTCAAATTTGAATCTTGTGTGGGGAAAGTGATGCTGGAGAATTAAGGAAAATAGAGTGTCATTAATTTGCACAAGAATCAAGAAGATAAAGGGAGCCATTAAGACAATAATTCATCCATTTCTAAATATGTTATAAATTATATGAAGTTTGACATGCAAGTAAGATGCGTCTATTGATCTCCCAAGTTACCTGGAATGAAGAGCAGCTCTACGTGGTTGGATTTTCAGCAAAGACGCATGAATGGCATCCTGATCACTGCTACCAGCGGTATAAACTTGAAGAAAACTCTCTTCCTTGGATTTTTTGATACAAAGATCACGCAATAGATCATGCAAGTGAAATGCCTTTATGGCACCCTTAAAGTTGGTTGGCACTACCTGAATCATGAACCGGTGGCTCAACTCCTCTAAACATTGTAGTGCTACATCTTCTTGGGACATCTCTTGATTAGGTGTGCCAACAAGACCTTCAGCTATCCACATCCGAGTAAGCATCCCAGCTGCAATTTGGCAGTCTTCTGGAAATACACCAAGATAAAGAAAGCAAGGCTTCAAATCATATGGTAGGTCTTCATAACTCAAAGCTAGCAAATCCTGTACGCTTGTGCATGTGTCTGTATAGGTACCCTCCATCACTCGTGAACGTACAGTGTCACTCACCTGCTGCCACTCTCCTATGCTTTCTCTTGTGTTCAAAATTCCAGCTAGTGCTACTATAGCCAAGGGAAGTCCACCACATTTCTTCAGCATTTCTTTGCCAAGTCTCTCAAAACTTTCTGTGCTGCAACTTTTGTGCCGACTAAGGGCAAGCTTATTTAGCAAGTCCCAACCTTCCTCCTCACTTAAAGGACGTGGCTTGCGGACGTATAAATTTTGCTGAATGTTTTGATGAGACTGAATGATTTTCTGATTGCGAGTTGTGATGATAATCTTGCTGCCGCTATTTATACTTCCCCATGGAAGGGCAGGAAGTAATTGCTCTAGAGCCTCTTTCCTCCATACATCATCCAGGACGACCAAGTATAGATTCTCTTTCAAAATGTTGTAGAGCTTATCCATCAGCTCCTCCACATTCAATTTGGCATGAAGCTCAGACGTCTCCTTCGTCCTTCGGACCGGACCACCCACTTTCCTCAGAATTTCGGATAGAACATGACGGGTGTCCCATTCTTGAGAAATGGATACCCATGCCATACAGTTCATGAAGCACTTTTGGGTACATGGATGATTGTAAAGCTTCCTGGCCAAGGTAGTTTTCCCGCAGCCACCCATTCCTACAATGGATAGAACTTTTATGTGGCTGTTCCTCTCACCTATAAGTACTTCTAACAACAGTTTTTGCATGTCCTTCTCCAAGCCAACAACAAACTCAAAGTTATCATAGTAGTAGCTTCGACGCTCTGGCCTCCTATGATGGAGTCGTCTAAAACCTTCTACTTCATGGATCTTTCTTAGTCCATAATTATTCAACTTTTCAATGGTGTTCTTCACTTTTTCTCGTGTCTCATATATATGCTTCCCAACTTCATACATCTTTGGGGCACTACGCATGAAGCAAGCAAATCTAAAGATCCAGCTCTCTTCAGACTTGGCTTGTGCATTAAGGACATACATGTCAATCACATCCTCAGCATCATATGCAAGCTTTGTAATTTGTCGTATAAGAACACAAATGAGTTCTTCCTTTTCATGCTTTTTATCAGCATCTTGGAGGTATTGCTGCATTTCTTCAAGCTCTTGCTGAAGGCCCCGTACTTGATCTGCCACATCGAATAATATATTGGCTTCCTGAATCAATATAGAGCCAATCCACTTGACAGATGATGCAACAATGGATTCTGCCATGCTTTGTTTTTCTGTTGATTTCAAAGAAATGAGTCAACATTTAAAGATAGTCAATTCTAACTTACAAGGTATTCCTAATTATCAAAGCTTTCAGCTTTATGCAAAGCATTTTTCTTAATAATATATGTACTACTACCTAATCAAAGCGGAGTCAGAAATATTTCCCTTACTATATGAGTTACTGGTTATTAGTACAGAGGATGATTCTCTCAAGTTATTACAAATAAAGGTCAAGACAATTAGAAATTTCATTAGACAGAGTAACAGGAACAACTAGCATCAGATTGAAACAATAAGATAGTGTCATCAACTTAGGAGTAGTGTATAATATACAATAAACAACAACAATCGGTGTATAATACAATAAACAGCAACAATCGGTGTATAATATACAATAAACAACTAACAAATGTGCGTTACAATTGTAAAATATAAGGAAATTTGATGGACATGGAAATCCAAGCAATTCAAGAAAAGCAATGTATAATAATATGAATTATGAATACAACATATGTAAAAGGAGACTTACACGCGAAAACTTGGTAGAACAGGTTGATTCTTTAGTTTGCAAGTGTTCACCACAGAATGAAGGCATGAACTCATACTATTGTAGATTTGTAGTAATCAAAGTCTACCAGAGGCCCAGCGAGTCAACCTCACTTTTACTTTTCTATCTAGCTAGAATAATAAATGGGATGACTAAATTTACAAAATTGAACCGCGGGGAGAAGATGGGAGATCTTCTAGGTGCTTTAGGACTCTAAAGGAAGAAATAAAAAGATTTAAAATCCTACGGGTTGGACAACCCTAGGCGGAGACGTAGGCATATTTGCCGAACTTCGTAAAAATATCGTTGTGCTTTGTCTCATCTTTATTTGCTTTACTTTACACGTTTTTATTTCTGTTTTAATTCGCAATTTATAATCTGCTTTATTTACAAAGTTTAATTTTAAGTTTTCGAATTGAATCTCAAAGTCTTGACGCTGAAAAGTGAATCAGTTTATTCCGCCTTGAAATTGATCTCAAGACCTTGAGATTTATACTCACGAAAATTTGTCATACTCTATTCAACCCCCCCTTCTAGAGTATATTTATTGTTTATTCTGTTAGCCTATTGATCCTTCAGAAGTGTTTACATATTTTGATTATTTAAAATGATCGGAATATTTGGTGGAAGGGGTAGTATATATATATTGGAATTTTATTTTAATAGGTAGTTATTAATGTATTTATTTAAAAATAATAATAATAATAATAATAATAATAATAATAATAATAATAGTAGGTTTGATAGAATTTGAGGATTTGCAATTAAAAAATTGTCAAAAATAATACGACTTTTGCTCGATATTGTAAAAATAAAATAACTTTTTAATTAACTATCCCAAAATAATATGACATTTGTGGGCCATCTACTTTAAATAGAATAAAAAAAAACAATAACATGTTGGATAGAAACCAATCATGCTAAAGATATTAATGTCACCAAAGAACCCACTCTTGCAAAAACTAAAAACAAATGCACCCCATCTTGGTCCAATATGTATATGTCACCAAAGACTCAGTTTTATAAAATATAAAACAACAAATGCTCACCAATTTGGTCTGTCACTGCTTATTGGTTTAATTATTTCCTACACTTCAAATTTCGTAATATCATCCAATGGTGTTTGTATGTATAAGCAATTACTAAATCACATTTCTACCCAAATTACTTACAACATTTTGAACTTATAGAAATCAACCATACTAAAGATATGAATGCCTCAAAGCATATGATATTATTTTGTTATACATAGACAAACAAACAAAGGTTTATTTAACCATAGCTTTTATCGTTAGTTTTTGATAGCCATTAATCGTGCGAGGAATTTTAGTGAAAAAGCTGAAAGGGTAAAATAATTATGATTAGCTTTATAATTAATAATAATCATGCATTCACAAAATATGTTAATTAAGAATGATTAATATGAATTTGATTATTTCCAATCTGTACTATAACTGCTCACCTGCTTAGGCTATTTCGGTTCGGTTCGGTTCAAATCATGCTAACGAACTGAAGCTGATTAAGAGTCCCGGTTAAGACTTGTTATGCGGGGGTGGGGGCGGGAAAGGGTGGCTAAGGCTGGTGGGGGAGGAGATGGTGGTTTTTTTTAATTATTTTTAAAATAATTAAGTGTTAATTAATAACTAATAATCATAATAATCTTTTCATTAAAAATATTATAGTTTAAACTTATTTTTGATCAATCACGTAGTGACACATGTACATTAAATTGTTAAAAACCCTAAATTATTGTTAACTAAGCAACTAAAGTTCCAAAACGATTGCTGACTAAACATTCCTAGTTCCTAAACTATTGCGGACTATGCTTAGTCCCTAAACTACTTGGCCTGAAAACACGAACAATGGTGGTTGAGGAATCAAAAGTGCACATTAAAAATTAAGGGATCAAAAGTGCACATTTAGAAGTTTTTGGACCAAAAATGCACAAATGCAATAGTTTAAGGACTGTATTTTGTTTTAACTTTTTAATATCGGAGTGTTTAATATACTAGTATTCCGTATGTTTTATTAACAGGATGACGTGAAGCTGTTGAAGGACATGGGCATGAGCCGCATGACTGCTTATAGATTTTCCATTTCTTGTAAGTCATCATGATATCCATATATCTTAAGTCAAAATTAATTTATGATCGATAAAAAATATTGATAATTTTGACTTTTACCAAAAAAAATAAAAAAACACGAAATTGGTTTTTACTATCATAATTTCTTAAAGTTTTATTTTACCAAAAAAAAATTAAAAATTGTTTTTTTTTTTCATGTGCCGTCAGGATAATCATTAAATCTTTTATTTTCGTGCCGAAAACCTGCTCTTTACAAGTTTATGGGTCATTTTGGTTTTGAAGGGAGCGATGTGAGGTCAGAATTGATAAAAAAATTATCGGAAATGCCTCGTTTTGCTTACTAAAATACATCGATTTGCGTGTTTCACATAAACGAGACATTCAATAATATTTTTGGTCAATTTTAACTTCAAATTGCATCCTTTAAAGCTAAAATGACCACCAAAACCTCTAAAGAGCATGTTTTCGCACAAAAATCAAAGATAATTTTTTAATTCCGTTAGATTTAATGTTAACTTTGAAAAGTTATGGTGATAAAAAACAAATTCGTATTTTTTTTTTGGTAAAAATTAATTGAGCCTAGAAAATATCTAGTTATTGAAAACATTTTATCTTGGGATTTGTTAAACGACGCTCGCAAATCTCCACATAACCCCCACATTTTTTTTCTGACGGAATTAGGGTCTGTCAGAAAATTTCGTCGGAAAAGGTACGTTACGACGGAAAATCCCTCGAAAATATTCTGACGGACTTATTTCCCCTCAGAATTTACTGCTTCCGACGGAATATTCCCTCGGAAAATTTCTTCCGACGAAAATTTCCGTTGGAAGTTGTAAATTCCGAGGGAAAAAAAATCCGTCAGAAAGTATCAATTTCGAGGGATTTTAATTCCGTAGGAATTTTCTGACGGAATTTAAAGCCCTTCCGACGGATTTATGACTTTAAAAAAAAAAAAAACAAAACAAAACCCTAAAGTCCCGATTCCCCCTCCCCATATATATCTCATTTCTCTCTCCTCTCCTCTCATCTTCTCTCCGCCTCTCTTCTCCTTCCCTCCCCTCTCTTCTCTTCTCCTTCTTTTTGTGTTTCTCTTTCCTTTCTCCATCACCTTTGTCCTTCCTCTCTTTCCTTTCTCCTTCTTTTCTTTCCTTTCTCTTTCCTTTCTCCTTCTTCTCTTTCCTCTTCATTTTCAATCTCAAATTAATCTTGTTTTTTTTTCCTCAATTTTCGCAACAAGTTGCTATGGGCGTTCGGATTTTCGTCAAAATTCGAATAATTATTGTACATCACCGGTGAAACTATCTCCACCGACATCAACACAACCACCAACAAGTGTTATCCACCAACATGCGGGCAGAGCTTCACTGGATTTGTTGAGAAATCGAGACCCACAACCGAGCAACCGGCATTTGAAGAACAATTTTTTGACTTTTTTCGTTTTTTTTTTTTCTGATTTTGATTTTAGATTTGTATAATTCGTTTTTTTTTCGTGTTTTGTTTTTTTTTCGGAATTTGATTTTGTATTATTCAATTTGCGTATTAGATCTGTTTTTTTAATTTATATATTCAATTTTTCTATTTCCATATTAGATCTGTTGTTTTGTTTTTTTTTTTTGCTTTTGATTTTGCATATTCAATTTTATATTATTCAATTTGCGTATTAGATCTGTTTTTTCTTTTTTTTTTATTCTAGGTGGGGGTGGTGGTTGTCCGAATGTGGTTTAGGTGGGTGGGTAGATCTGGGTATTCGGTGGTGGGTTGTAGTGGTGGTGGGTTGTGGGTAGTTGAAGGTTAGGGGGGTTTCGTGGGTGGGGATCTGGGTTGTGGGGGTTTCGGTGGTCTGATGTGGGGATAATGGCGGTGGTGGTCTGAGGTTGAGGGTAGGGGGGTGGGCTGGTAGGGGTATGGGTGGGTAGGGGCAGGGGGTGGGCTAGTGATGTGGGCTGGTGGTGGGGGTGGTGGGTGGGGCTTTTTTTTTATTATTAATTTTCCGATGGAAATTTCTGTCGAAAAGGTAGTAGATTTCGATGGAATTTTCCGTCGGAAGAGGTATATTCTGACGGAATCTTTTCCGTCGAAAAATTGCGACGGACTCTTGATTAAAGTCAAAAACAGCGCCGACAGAAAAAAAAAATCCGTCGGAAAAGGTCGAATTTCCTACAAAGTGTTTTGCGACAGACTGATTCCGACGGAATTCCGTTGGAAGACCATTTTCCGACAAAAATTCCGATGATTCCGACAAATTTTTTCCGTCGGAAATAAGTTGTTTTCTTGTAGTGACCCTTTTTATTATTTTCACCCAAAATGTAATTCTACTTCACGAAGAATGCTCAGTCCGACTGGATCGCGGAGAGACTCCGGAGAGCCGT